GGTTATGGAAAGTAGGAATTAAATGACTGCAGTAGATGTGTACAGATAATTGAGTTGTTGTGCAGAGTCAAACTTCAATAGGCCTAGATCACAGATAAACTCAGTCATTATTTCCCAGTACCATTTTAGACCGGTAACAGGGAGTGTTCTTGTACTTTGTCCCAGCATATGACTAGCCCAGGCAACTACGAGCTGGTGGAGTCAGCTCCATCTATCTTCAACTGTTCTTAGTCCCATGGAGGGCAGGAGAGCAGGAACTGATATCACCAAGGTACTTCTCCATGGTTTTACTTGAAAGCAACTGATCAGGAATCCACTTTAAGAGCAGATTACGCTAACCAGAAGAAGGAACCTCCTCACAGAATCAAAGCTTCTACATATACTGTTAACACAACATGCTTCAGCCTGAATTTTTTACCTTAATCCATAACATAGATGAACTCCAAATCCTGATGCATACTAAGTGTTGGATTTCTCAATCCAGACATGTGTGTATACATTTATTATGGCTGCTAGGGCCATGTTCTGACAGAAAACAGAGCAGTTTATTGCTCAGACCACACCAGCACAGAATATTCCTGGGGCATCCTCTGCATTATCCTCTTTTCCATGGCAAGTTCCTCTGCTGCATGGCAAAAAACCTCAAAGCTATCACCTACATCTACAGAGAAAAAATATTTTTGCTTCTTTGACATGTACTAAAGTTAATCTTTGCTACCTAGGGGGCCTGAAGTCACCAAAAAGAGCCTTAGCTCCAGCAGCAACTTGCAACAGTGCTATGGTTTCAAGACTGTGAAACAGTTTTGATAATCTCACCCAAGAACTGCATAAGACTAATTTGACAAACATTTCTACACTGAAACATAAATTTAGTTGTAATGAGGCTTCATTCTGTCCCAGGACAATGTGGAAAATGTTGGAATTCCCCACCAGCACTTCCTTTCAGCAGATCAAAAGCAGGATTCTGGCTGTAAGTATTTCCATTCTGGCATCTCCTGCTAGGCAAAAATCACCCCCACTGTCAGTCATAATATGCAAGGGAATACTTGGTGATCCTCTCCTGGTCTGGGAACTCCGTAGGGCAGGATGAGGACCTCATGCTATCACAGATGTTCACAGAACACCCATGTCCCTCACCAGCCATGCACTCACAGCATGCACTCAACATTTCATCCCCATGAGGTGCCATGCAAAGTGCTCACTTAGCACATCATAGAGGACTAAGAAGCTCCAAGAAATCACAGTTCTAATGAGACTTGTCCTACCAATACTGTCTCTTAAATCTCTGGGCACTCAAGTCAATCAGTCTAAACATACTCAAAGCCAATGCAGATACTTCCAACAAGTCTTTCCATCCAGAAGCAGCTCCAGTGCTCATCCTAACAGGCAGCTGAAAATTTCAACCTGTCTTGGGTGCCAGGAAAGCTCCAAAGCTTGAGGTGGTCATGGTGCTTCTGCCCACACTACCTATGCCAAAATGCAGCGCCTCTAGCTAAAGAAGAGGGTTGGGGTGATGCCAGAAAGTACCATGAAGAACCATAGGATGCCAACACATCATCCAGCTGTCTATGCTCCCACCACTCACTCAAAGTAGAGCTTGAAGCTATACTCCAGTTCACAAAAAGGCTTACAAGAGGAGAACAAGGGCCACCCAGTGAAACCTCAGCACAGTAATGATAACAGAGATGAGTGTTACATATAAACAGTCCAGCTGCAGAGTCTGTCCAGTGTACCACCAGAGCAATTTATCCTCTGGGAGACAAACCGGCAGAAAAGGATTTTAGTGAGCTTTACAGCTGAAATCTACCATTGGGTTGTTTAAAATATTCTTCCCCAAATACCAAAAGTGACTTTGACCAAAAAGTTTGCTTTCTGAAATAACAGTTCCTTAATTTGGTTTGCACCTTAAAAATGAAGGCTAAAAACTGTTGAAAGAAATGAAAGACCCAAGACTTGCCCCTCTGTCTGCTGTTTTGGCATACCTTTTGGGTCTGGCTCTCAGTGCAGATTTTGCACCTCTCAGCATTTGCACTTTTTATACTTGGAGCGTCAGTTCCACCTACAGTGAAACACAGTTCACTCACAAATTCTATATGCAGATCTGAAATCACACGTAGACCACATCAATCTAGGCACAGTTAAATTTTCTTTTTGGTCATTTGATCATTCATTTTGCAACATGGGGATGAGAATTTATAGATAAACTCTCCGAAGTGTTCTAGGTACTTCTATCAATGAGTCTAGTTATGTTTAAATTAGTTTCATAGAATGTTTGGAGACATCTACAAATGAAAGAGGCTTACCACAACGTCACAAACAAATCATTTGCCAATTTCATGGACAAGATTCTTTAGATTCTCTGTCATAAATAGTCTGGAAAATTTCTACATTCTTTAAAAAAAAAAAAAAATCTGTAATCCCTTACTTCTCACCCCCAAAATAGGCAGTCAGTACCACTTCTCTTCATATCTTTGCCTACTTTCTCTTTGTAGATGTCTGAGCAGCAGTGCCCACGAACTTTCTTCTGCCAGCACCTGAATGGGGCACACTATTTTCCACTAGGATAGTGAGCTCTTGCATAAGAAACAAGCACTTTAAAAAAGGAGGAAGCTTCTAAATAGATTGTAAAGTTTCCGGGTATTATTACTATTTAGGTATGTTCTTGGATTTACCTAAACACATCCTCTTTTTTTCATGCTTGAATTTTGTCCAGGTGGACTTTAAGGCTAATCTGATAGAATTACAGGATCATAGGATATCCTGAGTTGGAAGGAACCTAACTCCTGACCACCCAACATCCAAATCTTATGTCTGAGAGCAGTGTCCGAATGCTCCTTGAACTCTGGCACTTGGGGCTGTAACCACAGCCCTGAGCAGCCTGTTCCATGCCCACTACTCCTCATACACCTTGCCCTCTGGACCCTTCCCCATCTTCACAGCCTTCCTATGGATGCTCTCTACTTGTCTGTAATGTGGCCTCTCTGACTGCTGGGTGTCCTGCATGTTCCTCCTGTCATCACACCACTTCATTCAGTGACAAACAGCTTGAACTTTCTTTTTAGAGGGAGGCAGAGAGAACTGAGAGCTTATGTTATAGCCTGAAAAATAATACAGCCCACCTGTGGCCTGTCATACAGTGCAAGTACTCAAAATAAAAGCCATCCTTCCCAAAACAGCAGAATCACCACACACAAACACAGGCAAAGTGCACATCTGCATGTGGCAGGCTACAAAATGCCAGAGAGAAAACAACTGCAGCACCATGAATACAAACAAAACCTGAAGATTATTTGTACTTGGGGATTTCCTCCCAAGCTCAAAAATCATTTCTGCAGCTGGATAGCAGAGCACTAGAGGGCACCAGCAGGATAGGGCCAGACCTGCTGCTGCAGCTAGCTGCCTAGCTGGTGGTTAAACACTTCCCTTTCTTCCCTCATCCTTTTTTTCTCTTTATTTCTTCTTCTTTTTTTTTTTTTTTTTTTTTTTTTTTTTTTTTTTTTTTTTTTTTTTCAACAAGAGGTTTAACTCACTCCCCTAAGCCACACTCCTCTGCCCTGCAGTCACACGGGTCCTTCTGCTAAAGAGAAAAGTTGGGTGCAAAGCCCAAAAATGGAGAGACTTTGCAGCACCCTGCCTTTCTGCACATAATCCAGATGCAGGGCATAAGGGGCATTTTCCTGTCTAGGAAGGAGACCCCAGCTTCTTCAGCAGGTGATGCCCGTCTTTCTTGTGCCACAAGGCTGCTCCCACTCCCCCCAGCATCACCCATATTGCTTGGTCCCCTCTTTTCTCTGTTTAAATACCCACAGCACGGGGCTGTACTGGCAGAAGGAAGGCTGAGCTGCCCCTTCCTCGCAGGAAAGCTGCACTGGCAGCCAGCACCTGCCCCCACTCCCCAGCACCTCAAACATCCACCTTCAGGGACCGGCAGTGAGTTTATGCACTCGCTGCTGGGCCTTCGCTGAGCAGAGACTGCCAATTGTGCTGCACTGTACTTAATTATGTAGTAGTTTTATGAGGTGGACTGCAGCACACGGGGGACCAACGTGAGACTACCAGATTTATTGCACTTTAACTTTGAGCTGACAGTATAACAGGCTCTAAGAGGTAAGTACTCAGTGCTTTTATTCACTGATCTTTTGCCCTCTCCCTGCGTTTTCATACAAGGCTTTGGAGCCTGTCTGGGACTACAGGGAGAACCTGGAACAGTGAATAGGAGCATTAAAAAGAGAGAGAGGAAGGCAAACAGACAGCAGGAGAGATCCAAGGAGAGGCAGCTTAGAATCATAGAATTGCTCAGGTTGGAAAAGACCTTCAAGATCATCAAGTCCAACTGAAACCTTACCATACTACCCTAACAGCCCTCTGCTAAACCATGTTCCTGAGCACCACATTCATTAGACCCCATGGCCTTTTCTTTTGTCATGAAACGGGCATCACCAACCATTACCACCAGAAGTAAAAACACTTGTGATGCCAGTGAAGGCATTGCTGCTGGGTTGCTAGCTGAACATCAGTGTTACAGTAACAGCAATGTTCCTATTTCAGCAAAGTAGCAGTAGAAACTTCTGGGTTTCTGGAAACAACAAGTCATCATCCATTGAAAAGTGGCAGAAGGGGTCAATCCAACAGGAGCTCTTCACTCTCATTCTTTGATGAAATGGACAGGTCTTAGACACGTGCTCAGGGTCTTAAGAGGAAGAAATACTGCCTGGTTTTGGGACATGGTTGGCTATGTGCACTAGGAGGATGGAAAAACCATCACATGCTTTTTTTAAATTTTTTTTATCTACACTTGTGCGGTATTTAAAACATTGCTTTGAATCTATACAGATTTTCAGTTATTGGACCTCTTGGATTTTTAAACCTCACTGACTCTCAGCCAGACTGCCTCCGTCTGCATTGAAAGGAGCCATTCTTCTTCTTCTTCTTTTTTTTTTTTTTTCCTTCAGTGAAACTGGAGCCTTTCCCTTCCCGTAACTTTCAGCTGGCTGAGCCATTCCTAGATCTCTGCATTTTTCACTTTGCAGGCTGACCCCCAGGACTTCAGGAGCCTCGTAAGAGAAGTTATGTGACACACTGGCTGCTGTGGAAAGCTGTACAGATGAAGGCTAAATGTTACGGATGGCAAAATGGCAAAATAATAAAATAAAGTACAATCTACAGCCACAAGGAAGAAGTTGGGTGCAAATGTTCAGTTAGGAATATTATAAACTACAAAGCAGTGGGAAAACAGCACATACATTGCAAGGTTGTACAGTATAAAACAGCAAAGCACAAGTGCCATTTTTTCATTATGCTTTCTTTTTCTAGAAGGCTGATAGGAACAATGTTTAACTGTTTCAAACTGTCTTTCAAATACAATTGTTAAGAAATAATCACATTATTAGAAAATAATTTGATCAGTGTGAAACTGTAACTTTAAACGAGTTCAAACTGACAGATATAAATTGGGATATACACTTTATAGGGCATAGCACATTTCACTTGGAAAAGTAAATATATAACATTATTGAAACAGAGTTAAAATGAATAGACTGCTGTAAAGAGCTTAAAAAAGTCCCAGGACATGCTATCAAATACAAGATCGCATAATTTGTCAAATTTTTCATGAGTTGTAATGTTTAAGAAAGTTCAGTTAAAATTGCCAGGATTCCCTGTGATTTTCAGTACTGATTCATTGCAAAAATACTATCAAAAATGAGCTCTCAGTTCATAAGTTATCGTAAATAAAGGATTCACAAAATAAGTTTTTCAGCCTGACACAGAGAATAGGTTTGACAACTGCAGAGCCCAAATGCAGAAACTTTTATTTTCCTGTGTAATTTTCAAAGAGCCCTTAAATGCTATTGCATCCAGAGGAAGGATAAATCTCTGTACTATACTGATGCAGTAGAGGATGGAAATGCTACTGGGGTGCTACAACTCACAACTTCAAACCACTTATTCAGTAGTATGCCGTACAATTAACTTCACTTCTAGAATTACCTGGGGAAGGATCTTCCCTTAACTGACCACAGCAGAAAAAAATGAGCAGCTTTTAAGACTACAGAGAATGGGTGCTAAATTACTACTGTGATACATATCCTGTGATGGGTTTGCGCCTGTATCTGTCTCTCACTGTATGTTTTGTATTGTAGCTGTTAGCATAAAGGAAGCCTCACTCCTGTGGGACACCTGTCTGGTACAGAGATATAGATGTTAAACAGTAAATGTTAACTAAATGCTTTGACAGGTGATTATTCTATTTCCCAGCTCGGTTTTACACACAAAAAAAGCATATTTAATATTCTGCTATCCTGTTTGAAAACGTTTTTCTTTTTTTTTTTTCCTTTCTACAGATGTGATAATTGTTTTCTAGTGTTTTTTTTTTTTTTTTTTTTTTTTTTTTTTAAGGTAAATACAAACTTTATAAGGTTTATAAGAAGCTGGTAAACAAAATAACCTTAATTCTTTAGAGGATTGGGATTCCTATTTTATATAATTTTGCAGATCACAGTCAGAGACACAGAAAGGCCAAAAAGGGAGAGGAGAGGAGAGGAGAGGAGAGGAGAGGAGAGGAGAGGAGAGG